GCTAGATAGTGCCCCTAGGCGTGGTAGGGAAGTTCACCTTTCCCCATTTTAAAATGGGTTATTTACTTTATTAGTAGTAAGAATTCTTTTGAGGAGAGTAGGCTGTAGAGATGGCTCAGTAGTTAAGAGCACTTTCAGAGGACCTGGATTCATTTCCTAGCATCCACAACCATCTGTAACTCTGGTTCTAGGGGATCCAGCACTTTCTACTGACCTCCATGGGCACATAGCATGCACATGGTGTAGATATATATATGCAGGCAAAATACTCCCACATAAAATATAAAAAACATTAAAATTTTAGTTTAAGTTGTATGTGGATAGGAGGCATGTATGTGTGGAGGTCATAGGGAAGCTTTGTGAAGTCCTTTCTTTTATACTTTATTTTGCCTGGGGATCAGGGGTGGAACTCAGGTGGCCAGATTTGCACAGCAAGTGCCTTTACTACTGGGCTGTCCCATCAGCCCAGGAAAACTCCTTATGCACTTTGAATACCAGACTGTAAAGAGGTCCAAGAAGAGAATATGTTTTATACAATTACAGACTTTAGTTAGCTGCCCCACTTACAGCTATATTGGCAAGAAGTATATTCAGCCATGTGATCAGGAACTGGGACTTTGTGATTCCTTCTTGTAAGAAATTTGAAGTGGCTGAACCAGGACTAGGTAGATTTTCTTATATGGTTTGCTATGCTGTCACCTCACAGGTATACCAGTCTGGCTGGACTGTGATTGCCATCAGGAAAAGAAGGAGGTCATACTGATCAAGAATGAATCCTGAATTTTCTAAGTAAATATTTCTTAACATCTACCCCTTAATTATCTAGGAAGAAGCTAAAAGGAACAGGTTTCTTTCTTGGGACAGTTGCTTTCCAAAATATAAAGAAAAGGAAAAAAGAGAGGTAGTGAGAATTTTTGTTAATTTTTTGTTTTGGTTTGGTTTTGATATTATACATCTTGGCCTGTCCTGGAACTTACTGTGTAGACCAGACTGACCTTGAGCTTAGAGAGATTTACCTGCCTCTGCTTAGAGTCAGAACTTCTTGAGTTGATGTATGAGGAAGTCTTTTCAATGCTCAACAAGCCCAGATGTCTGTGGATACAATAGGGAACATGGAGATTGCATCAAACATATTTGACTCCTGGCCTATTCAGTGGTTTAGTAATGAAAGGTATTTTGTTGGCTGACTGCAAACAGTCTGAAAGGCTAAAACCATGAAAAAATTACTTTTAGGATCTACAGTAGTGTGGTCCAGCTTAGTTGGCCTGATAGGAATGGCAACAATAATGACCTGAGAAAAAAATCTCAGCAGCCAGATACAGCAGAGCTGCAAGAGGAATCGGAGCCCCACATAAGTCAGCCCTTCCAGAAGTGAGCAGGGGATGGCCCAGGCAGAGGAGTATAATGCATTCCAAGGTAACTTGTGAGGGTTTGGCGAGAGCCACACAGAGATTCGGTCTCTATGGATTTATCTCAGTAGTGGGACACTTGCTTATCACCGAAGCAACACCGAGTGGAGGTTTTTCTTGTGTCTGGTCTGGTCTTTGTGTTGCTGCATCCAGCTCATGGAAGGAGAGGGTGTAATAGGCTTAGTGGTCAGCTTCATGATGAGCCTGTGTGGATGGTGAGAAGACGGCTATCTGTAACACACTAAGAGGGGCCTCACAGGTTGACATTCAAGGTCGTTTGGTTTTAATTTTGTTGTTCTTCCTATACCGTTGGTTTACACAGAAGTTTGTCATGGTCACTTTTAAGTTGGAAAGGAAATTATAATAGCTGAAAGCCAAATGCATTCTAAAACTGTACAAAATAAAGAGTTTTAGGGATACTATCCATGTTATAGCTGTACAACTGATATTTTAACTAGTGGGCAGAATATAAAAAATATTTTCTTGAGTAAAATTTCTAATATTCTGAGTTGAACTAAACTGACTAAAAATGGGTCAGTATAAAAATTTAACTATCTATTAAATAGAAAAGAACCTTCTACCAAAAATATGAGAATGCAACAAGTAGTGTGTATATTTTTCTTTTAATGTAACCATAATTTTTCAGCCAAATAAATAGCATAATACTTTGTATTTCACACTTTATGGTCTAAAGCTGGAAGGGGAAACTCTGCATATAGGTTCTATAAACATAACAGCAAGCTTTCCCTTGACACTCCAAGCCCTCATAATCCAAGAATATTAAAGATTTTCAGAGGCAAGTCTTTGAACATAGCAGGTTTTATGACAAAAATCCATCCCAAAGGAGTATTTTTTGATAATACAGTTTAAATTTCCGTATTCATTCTTACTTGGGGATCATTATATAAAATACTGACTAATTTGAAAACTTACTTTTTATTTTGTATTCAGTATGGAGATTTATTCCCAGAGAGGGGCTTTTCTGATGCAAAATTGGAATGCTGGTGCAGTCACAACAGCTGTCCCCACACCATGTGGTAGCTTCCAGTACTTTACTGTAGAGATGAATTTTTGGCCCGGTGTTTCAGTAATATTGGACACACATGGTTTTAAGTGGCAAAGCAGTATGCTTATGCATTCATCTGACTTTCACAGCTACAGTTGGCTCTACATTAGACCAGGGAGAACACATTCACACCACAGCCACCCTCATGGCTGCTGGAGTAGCTGGATCACAGTGGGCTCTGTTCCTTTAAAGACACCACTAACTACTGCTGAGGAATTACACATTCACCAAAGTGCCTTGCAGCTGTAGGAGAGGGAATAATGAATAGCTCAGAGGCCACACTCAGATTTCAGCCGTGAGTTCTTGTTATCACCCATCTTTTAACAATAACAATAAAAATCATGGCCATGAAATAACTAGAAACAAGAGGAAGTTTGCTGAGGCAGTCTGTGATTTTTCTTTTCCAGGTTTCGATAAAGGCATTTGATTTAAATAAAAATGTTGCCTCCCCAGGAAAACTGTAGTGCTATGTTTTTGACTCGTTAACAAGAAATTAAAATCCAGTTGGTTTTTAGTGTCCACTGTTAATATATGTCGGATATTTTGGAAAATCAACTTACTAAAAATAGAAGTTTTGCACAGCTCTCTATTTAAGCTAATGCAGACCTCTTTTCTTGAGAGAGAGCACAGCAGTGATTTGCTGTGTCTAAAGCACACTGCACTGGTATGCTTTGGCTCTGAGTCCTGTTTCAGTGAGGATCTTAATGTTCTTCATGGCTTGATTTTGCATATATTTAAATTGTCCTCAAGCCTTACCCTTTTTGTGTTTTCTTTTGCATCAGAGTTTAGGGGTTTATCAATAAGAGTAGTATTTCTTTGAAAATCCAATTTGTTTCCTCTAAGTGATATCTAAATAACACATTTTTTTGTTAAATGAGGCAAAAAAGGAAGGAAAACTCCTCCGTGTAATTTTTGGCTCAAGTGATACAGAGAATTAAATTTCTGATCTTCATTAAATATCAAAGAAATTCTAACCAGATCCAGTGTAGATTGCCTTTTTATCTGAGTGAGGTTATGCTTGTATTGTCGAGGCTGTACTGATGAATATGTTTGAGGCTTTCAGCCCTTAGTAGATACAAAATAGAATGATTGATAAAATCCTCCTTACTATTGGCTATTATTTACTGACTCTTAAGTGGCAGGTTGTATTTATGCCAATTCATCTGCTTCAGGGAACATTCTTGATAGCAGAACAAAGTGAATAAAAGTAGTTTGCTTTGCAAATGAATGCAAATAGGAGAGCCTTTCGGAAAGCCCTTTAACAGGGGCAGTGCACTTTGATTATGAGTGAAGCTGCCATTTGGACATGGTGAAAAGAGCATGCTTGAACCATTGATTGGGGGAGACAGTAAAAAGTCAGGAAGGGCCCGTTAGGCCTGCAGTGAGGCCTGCGGATGTCAGTGTGGTTAAAGCACAGTGGGAGAATGACAGGAAGGATTAGTGTCAGGGAGAGGCTTGGCTGGAGCTGTGGAGATAGTCCCCGGGGTCACTCACCTCTGACTGTGTTCTGTGCTGATGGTTCTGTAATGCAAACTGCTTGGTGTATGCCTGTTCATTATCGGAAATGGTGATTAGAAAAGGTATTTGTTTCTAAGATTTCCTCCTACTACCTTTCTCTTCCTCCTTCCCCCCATCCCTTCTCTCTTTCTTTCTTTCTTTCTCATTAAAGGAAAATGAGGTGGGCTTCCTTCATCTTTCTTTGTTTGATGCCAGAGTAGCTACTGCCTCTGGTGGGTGGTAGCTTATGCTAGAAAGTAGTTGTCATATGTTTTTTTGTATTCAGCAATGATTTATGTTTCTTTCCTCGGTTTTAGGTTTTTGACCATTATTCAGCAATATGATGCTACTAGAATTGTTTTGCAGTTTTGTAATTTTTAAGGTGTTTTCACTATTTCAACATCAAAAGCTTTGCAAAGACTGGGTGGCTCACACCTTGGTCAAAGAGTTCCTAATCTTAACTTGTTCCCAAGTTTTACAGAGTGTTAGCATTTGGCAAATTAAACATTTATAAAATTGTATGTCATTATTGTTACATAGAATGAGCAAGACATGTAATCTTCTGCAGTTCTGACTCTCAATCAATGCTTTTTCTTGTTCAGATTTTCACGTATACTTCTTAAAACCATTTTTATAAGTATTTTTTTAACTTCAAAATCTTACTAGTCATATTATGTGAGTTATATGAGCAGCACTACATTTTGTTCCAAGAATTTTTATGGACTTTGATAATGTTTTTTATTTTAATATAAAATTGGTCTTTTTTTTAAAAAAAATATCTTCAAAAACATAGTTTTGCATTATGCAGTACTTCTGTTTTTTTATATGCATGCAAAAATCTTACAGACACTTCTGGGACTCTATTCTCTGGTTAAAGGTGCTGCCCCAGCTTTGACTAAACCTAGATACATGTTTAGTAACTGTTGGTCATTGCAGAAAGGGTTTTGCCAATAATTTGTTTCACAGGCATGTTGATGTTATAGTAGACATTTTTCCAATTTCTTAAAATTTTGTTTAATGTTTTGCAGGCACCTGTATGGACAGAAGAGGACCTCAGTCAACTGACAAGAAGTATGGTTAAGTTCCCAGGAGGGACCCCAGGTCGATGGGAAAAGATTGCACATGAATTGGGTCGATCTGTGACAGATGTGAGTTCACTGAGATTTGCATTGTCTGGGGAGTGACAATCAGGAACAAGCCAACTATGCAGGAGGCAGACTGAGATGGGTCCTGGGTTATCTGTGGAGAAAGGACCTGGGCATGAACCAGTAATGGAATAAGCAAAAACCAGATGTGAATCCATCCCCTTCTCCATAGTGTAACAGCTGTATGAAAGACTTCTGTAGTGTTCAGAGGCTGAAGCTACTGAAACCTAATCATAAAAAACAGTATTAGATTTTGTGTATATTGACCCTTTAATCGTGGAGAAGACAGTTTTCAAACTGATCAGAATTAGAGAGGTTGTATTTCAGCCTTAACACTCAAGTACAGATCGCCAGTGTATTTAGACAGGTGGTTTAGGTTAATGAAGTGAGCGCGCTCGGGTCTGTGGAAACAGAGGCTTTGCCTTCTTTCCAGGATGCTGCTGTCCATTGATTTTGGAATTTGTGTGTAAATGGCCATACCTAACACCTAGAAGACAAAGTATAGACCAAGAACCCTGAGACATACCACTTTAGATGTTTTTGTTCAGGGAGACTACAGTAGAGCACTTGATGGATGCCATTTTATTTCCCAACATCTAATTAGAAGTCAGAAAGAAACCTCCTGTCTCAGATATCAAACTGATATTTGTATAAATCATACTAAATAATAACCTTGACTAAATTTTCTTCATATACATCTTACTGGTATAAAACTTCTTAAAAAGAGTTACTAACAGCAAAAATTTAAATTTCCTCTTTAATTTGGTTACCATGCTTTTAGGTCTTTTTTACAGTGTGCACATTTTAATGAGCTCACTAGTAAAACACAGCTACTAAAATAATGAGAATGTGTTATAATTGCTAGAGCTTACTTTTCATAATAAACTTCTATGTTTTTAATTTAGAAGCAAATATATATTTAAAAAGTACTGTCAACTTTTTTTCTCTTTTCTTCAGTTCCTTTGACCGGGACTTGCTTTGAAAATTTAAAATTTACATATGTATATGTAAGTGTGATCATCTTACACAAATTGTACCTAGTAACATCATGTCTGCACTTTGTTGAGTGACCAGTCATCTTTAGCTCATAGAGAATTGCTTTTCTACTAATTACACTGCTGAGATATGCATTTCATTTTCTTGTTTTAAGGTATTTTGTAAGGAATGGTATAACTATATAAGCACATTAAAGATATTCCAGGGATATTGATAATTTAAACATTGTATTTTTAATTGCTAAAAATAATTTTAAACATTCTAAAAATACTGTTTTAAAGAGCCCAAAACTTTTAACTTGATTATATAAAGAAAAACAATAATGTGTTAATTTGGTGTCTTCTTTTTTTTTGTTTGTTTGTTTTTTGTTTTTCAAGACAGGGTTTCTCTGTGTAGCCCTGGCTGTCCTGGAACTCACTCTGTAGACCAGGCTGGCCTCGAACTCAGAAATCCGCCTGTCTCTGCCTCCCAAGTGCTGGGATTAAAGGCGTACGCCACCACCGCCCGGCAATTTGGTGTCTTCTTAAGAGGTAGAGAATGAAGACTAAAAAGGGGTGGAGTTTAACAAGATCTCTCTGGCACAGCCCCACAGTTACTACTTTACTGAATTTACAAGAGAGGTCTTACTGCAGGGGCTTCTTTTTAAACCTTTGCTTATGTGGTTTACTTACAACATATCTTATGTGTTTTATTACTTTTCCCCAGCCTTCTCCTGGGGAGGCTGATTTTACGTCTGTAGTACTTTTTAATATGAAGTGGTTCACTGACTTGAGTATGTATGTTTGAACACACTGCATAATATCTTCTCTTTTCACAAGATTAAAAGTACTGTGAAAATACTTAATAAATCTAAACTTTTGTAGCCTCCTGAGATGCCATCATAGGAGAACTATGTCACAATCTGCCACACTGTGGCATCTCTGCAGCCTCACTGTGCATCTCAGTAACATGTCAGAGCAAAGATGTTCTCTTGAGAAAAAAAAAAAAAAAAAAACAGGTATCTGAAGACTCAGCTAGCTTTTTAAAAATTATTTGTATTTATTCTTTGGCAATTTCATACACATAAATAATGCCTCTTGGTACTATTGCAGTGTTGTTTTAATCTTATTTTATGTGTATGAGAGTTTCATCTGCTTATGTATGTCTATACACCACGTTCATCATGCCTGATACCCAAGAAATCCAGCAGAGGAGCACAGAACCCTCCCCTGGGATTAGAGTTACAAACAGTTGTGAGTTACCCTGTGGATGCTGGAAAATAAATCGCAGTTCTCTGAAGAGTAGCCTATGCTCTTAATTGCTGAGCCACCTCTGAAAAGCCCTTAGATAACTTATTTCAGTAACCCCAAGAATGACTTATGAACCACACTAAGGCAGCTGCAGTGGGTTTAGCTGTTACAGTCCCTTTAGTGGGATGTTAAGTGAAAGTTAATCACTCTTTAAGAGGTCACCTACACTTCCTTTTGGCTTGCAGTGTTAATTAGATTTGTTGTCATTAAGTGCTTGATTATGGAAGAGGAACCAGGTTCCTCATCTCCCTTACCCTGCACACTGACCCCAAGCTGCACAGCTGCTTTTTGACCTTTTTTGTCTGCCAAATGTGTAGCTTCAGGCTTGCTTCTTTCCTTCCAGAAGCAATTGACCCTTCATGGGGAAAGGTGAGTGTGGCAGTGCTAGAGTGTATGGCTCTCTATTTGTTAGATTCTAGATAAAATATGTAAAAGACATATTTTATTCCTCAGTTTAAAAGAGAAACAGTATATTAATTGTCATAATTAGAGTTAAATTGTTATAACATTGGGTATGTACAAGCAGTATTTTAGTATTAAAATTTTTTAACATTAAGGTATTTTTAACTCAGGTAAACTGTAAGTCCAACTTTCTTGAGTCTTAAATATTTTAAATGTTAATTATGTCTTTTGGCATATAATTTTAGTAACCACAAAGGACACTCTAATTGTAAAAACAACAAAGGAAACAAAAACTGTCTGGCATGTAAAACCACCTTTAATGTGATTATTAACTGCAGGCTTCTAAGTTAAGGTCAGGGAGCATCAGGTTTCTTGTTCCTAAAAGGTTGTAAGCTGACCCTGGTTCTCTTCGGGCACTAATCTCCATTCTGTTTATGATAACAGTCTGAGAGGAGATTTTCTGCTTGTTTAGAAAAGGCCCAGGTAGACAGCAAAACAAAAGCCAGGTGGTTAGATTTAACTTCTATAATTAATGCCAAAGTGTAATATAAGAAGTGCATAAGTTCTGCCCGTGAGGAGTGCAGGTAGTGAAATCCCCTTGTCGTTAGCTATAACTGCCACAGAGGCAGAAGATACACAGTAGCAGAATTTATACAGTGTTGTTATGTTGTCTTCTCAAGATCAGCAAGCCTTATGGTTATTAGTAAGTTAAGAATATAGTTTTATGTTATTTTGAAGATACATTGTTATTATTTTTAGCATCGGAGTAGTCCTACCTAAAGTTCTGAGGAATGGTGAGGACTAACCTTTTGGTTTCTTCACTGGCTGCCAGCCTTAAACAACACTTCACTGTGGAATACCTGTTTGCTTTATACCATGTCCTTGCTAGATGAGCTGCTCGCTCATTTGATTTATAAATTTCAGTGATAACATCATTCACACTTAAAAGTTGTTCCCTTGTTGTTTCGTGATGTTTTATGTTTTTTTATTCTAAACATAACCAACATAAACTTGTAGTAGTCATTCTGCTTCAGCTTTCCAAACCACTGATTCCATTATAGGCCAATTACTCAGTATTTTTTTTTGCCTGATGAGAATTCTGATGAATATTAAGTAGTAATTAATGCAGAGGGTTTTTATTCCTCTTATAATAAAGAAATGTGGGGCCGGGCGGTGGTGGTGCACGGCTTTCATCCCAGCACTTGGGAGGCAGAGGCAGGTGGATTTCTGAGTTTGAGGCCAGCCGGGTCTACAGAGTGAGTTCCAGGACAGCCAGGGCTACACAGAGAAACCCTGTCTCAAAAAACCAAAAGAAAAAAGAAAAAAAAAGAAACAGCGTGGGTTTGGAGGTATTTACAATTTGTCATTGACATAAACTAAGGGAATTTTCTTCAATTTAATTTTTTGGTTGTAATTTATGACAGTTGTTTCAGGAATCAATGTAGAATTTTTTTTTCTTCTGTTTTGAGATTTTCATTGCATTTATTTAATCTTTGTGTATGCATGAATATGCACACCATGAAGTGTTTGGAGGTCAGAGGACATCTTGTAGGAGTTTGTTTGTTTGTTTTGATTCTCTGCTTCCATGGGGATAAAGGTCAAACTGAGGACTTTGCTTAAGCAAGTGTCTTTATCTGCTGAGCCATCTCACTAAGCCGGGTGTGATTTTTTTTTTCAGATATGAAATTTTAACAATAATGACCTAATAAGAAATAATCGTCAAAGTACTTTTTTTAATCTTCTAAAATAAACTATTTGTTCATATAAAATTATTCACTTTCTAACAGTTGGACTTTACTTAATTTTTTGCAGTTGAATATAAGAATATTATAGAATACTTGATTGGATATCTTTAGGTAGAGCTATATCAGCCTTCTTTAATAAGTTTGTTTGAGCCTATCGATGCAATCTTATAGCAGTCTTCTAATATCCAGATAATCAAGACAATGCTGAATCTTAGGAAGAAAAAAAAAAGGCAACAGGTGCCAGTGCATGTCTACACCTGCATATACACATATACACATATGCACATATGCACATATACACATATGCACATACAATAGATAAGTGATAGATAAACATACAGAGATACATATACACATATGATAGATATTAGATAGATAGATAGATAGATAGATAGATAGATAGATGACATTTTTAGGACAGGATACCATAAAAAATATCGAAACACAAATAAGTATCAAACAGAGTGGTTGAAAATTATCTCCTAGGAAACAGAATAAAAAGGCAAACTGTTTTAACATATGGAGAAGAAATATAGGAAATCAACCCTAGAAATCTAGACCCGATTAAGTC